CAGACAGTAACTCAGATCCGCCCTTGTTCGTTTGTTCTACCTTCAGTTTACGCCATCATCATCAGTGTTTCGATCGTTTTTATTGTTCGTATTGTCATTTTTTTTAGATGATACCAACTGTGGACCCGTCCTACGTTTACGATCTGTTATGGAAGAAAGTTGTAGTGACCATGGAATCGGCCGTAGAACGTTAGCGCAAATTTTTTTTTTGCCACTTTTTTAAGCTTTGAGTCTATTATTTTGGCTATTTTTTGTAGTGTAGTGGCAAATAGTGCTGCTGTCGCGCTGAAGGTTAAGGTTTCGGATCTGCCAGTGAGGCAACCAATCCAGGATCCCCGAAAGGATGCCAGGAATGGATTTTATCGCCGTAGATTCAGTCTACGATGAGGAAGTTGGCGGGGGAAATGGTGGACTGGGAACGGACAGTCGCATCCCTTTTGGAATCCGATCTCCGATGGAAGCATCGTTTCTTGATGTTCAGCTGGAATGTCATCGAGTGATGACTTTTTGTGTTTTATAGTTCCGACTGGGAGGTGGAAGACAAAGCCCTTGTTTTTATAGAGGCATTCGATCCCTCCACGATTTTTTCATTTGCTTTTTTTTCCACAGTAAGTTGGCTGGCATATACCATAGAGGTCGAAATGCCCGCATAGAGGTCTCCAACTTTTATAGAGGGCGTATACGAAAAAAAGTTTTCAGGAAGTCATATTTGTATGAAATTGTCGCTATAGCTTAATTGAGCTTGAATTTTTGGGAGCCCCGTTAAATTTTTCCCCTTTTGCCTTCCTTGAGTAGGAAAAATTATCTGGCTCACTGCCGAAAAGTATCCCCTTCAAGCTGTGGATACGTTTGGACGTAAGAAAATCACTAGCAAAAGCGGTCCTTTGAAAGGATCTGTAAGTGTTTAAACGAATGTTTGAACGTTTGCAGATCTTTTCAAACATACTTATCCGAAGATCAAAGATCGCGTACGTTTTGAATATGCGGAGCAGCGTCGCAAAGCTTATTTGGGGGAAGATGGCAATGAATTTAACATCAACGAATTTCTCACAGTCTATCCGGATCCAGAAGCATTCTTCGAGCATGAACGTAAAACAAATCAAAGCTACGAGATGCATGCTATAGTTTGTTGATTTCAACACATTCTGAAGCAACGAGATTTTTGCAAATATCTTTTTTTTTTTTTTGCCAATTTTGGGTACCACTTAGCAATTACTGCAGTGGCAGCAGCTAATCCCGTTGCAATTTTCTTTTTTTTTTGGTCAACAGAGTAATTCTCAAGGATCATCGGAATCAGCAGTTTAGAACTTGCGACGTGATGTGTGATTAACAACACATACTTGGGAGCTGAATTTGAAATCTTCAAGTTGCACATGGGTTGAGAGTAGTTATACATGGCCTGGGCATTTTTATGGTTTGAACTGCCTGCTTGTTTTACAGATTACGGCTTGACCTACCAGTGACCCCAATCTTATCCCGTCCTTCCTTTTAACTTGTGGCTCCGGCTATCCCACATTTTGATTTCTTTGGACCGCCCAGCTCTCTTTCGGGCATAATTCGGCTTTCTTACGGCTGTAATTTACCATTCGTTCTTTTTTGTAATCGATTTCCTGAAATATTCCGAAAATGAGTTTTTATTAATTTTTTTAGGCATTTTTGGCGCGCAAGTTCGACCGTTACCATTTGGACTGTATAACGCAGCTTTTTAAGCACTGCAAAGGGCTGTTACTGCCGACATACAGGCAACTTGCGAAACACACGGATGAAATAACTCGAGGTACAATTAGCTTTTTTTTTTAAATTGAGCAGCAATCGGGGTGAAACTCTCGGACTGTTGGCATATAGTCTTACTTTCGGCTTTTTTTCAATTTTGATTTACACAGTATTCATTGAAAAAATTAGCTGCTTTTTCCTCGGACTTGAACCTTTTTTCCTCGGACCTCGGACCGGTTTGAAGCGGATTCATTCGCGCCTCCTCTGACTCCAGCTGTTT